CTAACCCTATTTAACCTAATCTAACCCCCTAACCTAACTTAAACTAATCTAACCAACCCAACCTAATCTAACCCAACCCAACCTACAGTATATGGACAGTTAACCAAGGCACTCGGGGATATATCGCGTGCTAGACTTTATCTGAATACGTAGAAACAACCGCCACATTTACCCCATAAACTGGTGCTCTGCTGTACAAAGCCTATCTTTTTGTCTATCCAATACTCCATCTATCCATCTGTCATTCTAACTGACTCTATCTCTCCAGCCATCTATCTACCTATTTATCCTTCTACCTGCCATATCTATCCATCTATCTACCTATTTATCCTTCTACCTGCCATATCTATCCATCTATCTGCCTATCTATCCAACTCTGTGTATCCATCTATCTAGTGAAATCAGCAAGCAAGGGTAACCAGTTTAGGACGCTGGTGTGTCCCCTGAGGCCGGAGTACCAAGGTCGACTATTCTGCCTTTTGTTTACACTGTGACAGCGACCCATACTCTCACCTAGTTTGTCAATATAAACAAAATACACAGACGATGCAGGTATACAAACAACATACTCAATGTGCAGGTATGTAAACAATGTACAGTCACCCAAAAAAGTCCTGTCGCGAACCACGATTCAGACTCGTGAACCCGAAGCAGTAGACACTGATACATTATTCTGTCCATAAATGCTTCGGATTCAAGAGTCTGAATCTCGGGGTTCATGGTTCACGACAGGACTTTTTTGGGTGACTGTACATACACAGACAGTGCAAGTATAGAAGCAATGTAGAGACAGTGCAGGTATACAAAGGTAAACAGTAAGTAAACCAACAAGAGCCCAACTTTATTTTCATTGTGGTCTTACCCCAACCAAACCTACCTAACCTCACCCAACCTAACACAAATAACCTGCCTATCTTGAAAGTGTAAGTGGGTCCCACAGGCATGACTGCCCGTTAGGGACAGTGTGGATACAGCACACTGTATATGAAGCCTTCAGTACACAAGAAGGCAGTATGATCTGTACTCGACCATCTTTACTTCTCCAACTGTATATTTAGGTGCTGGTAGCTCGTTTACAGCGAATCGGGAACTTAGGACGCAATGTGAGTGTGTACTGCACCCCTTTAACCTAACTTAACATAAATAACCTAGACGAACCTAAAGAGATCTAGCCTAGCTTTTTAACCCTAACCTAACCTAAAAAGCCTAGTCTAATTTGACCCAACTGACCTAACCCAAGTACTGTAGTGAATCATGACTTAAACCTAACCTACTGCACGAGTAGCTCTCCTAGTTACAATAAAGTGCTGCACAATCATAAGAAAACATAAAGTTACGTTAATTGAAAATATTTGAAAAGAAATATCAAATCAGCTTCAACAAACACGATACATACATCCTTCTTCAGTACTAGATGAGAGACCGCACCTAACATGGCAGCAAAGAAAATTCGACGCCATTATCTCATTTATTTTAAGGCTGCAATAATAACAAAAAAAACTGATTAGAGAATATGTAAAACCTACATTTGTTTACGCCTAATAGGGTGGAAGAGGAAGGAAGAGAGATGGATGAATGAAATTGAAGCTGCTGTCCCAGAAGAGATGCAATGACCAATACACAAACTAACCACAGCTAACTTAACTAAATTTGGCCTAACACACCAAATCTAACGAACCCTAACATTAACCTAACCTAATCTGCACGGAACAAGCCTCACCTGACAATACTATATTCGGTTATACTGTACCTGTATTAGTAATCACCACGTTAACGTCTACAACAAAATAGAGAGATGAATAGATAAATATTACGTTCACTTGACTACATTTACTACTTAATGGAAACAAGACCTATGGTGGCTTTGTTAGGTTGTTCTTGGTTGTAAATGTACTTTAGTTTATCCTCTTCGCCACTGATCTTGTTGTGTACCATTGTTTTGTGTAGCCTCTATGTGTTCTTTGTATACTTGTCCTGTCTATGTACATTTTATACTTGCACTCTGTACATTGGATGTCTGTACTGTCTACGTATACTGTACACTTGCATTGTCTACAGTATGTAAATTGTGTACGAGCATTGCCCATGTACGTACATTGTATACCTGTATTGTGTACATTGTATACGTGCATTATGTACACTATACCTGTACTGTCTATATACATGCTGAATCATTAAAATTTATATGGCAATTTTATTGAATTAATATCTTTCTATCTATATATCTGTTTGAGTCCAGTAGTTAAACAAAAACCCTGTATCTAATATTCCTAGTATTACGAAAGCCCTAACTAGTTACTGGGCAAGTTATGGCATGAACGCGCAAAGAGGGGATGGGGGGGGGGGTGCTGAGGGTGTTACAGTACCCTAATATTTATGGTATAAGGTGCACCAGAGAGCAGAATTAATAGTCAGCAACCGAGGGTAAAATTTGGTTCCCACGGTACTAAGTTATGGCCAAATAAAACTTTACCAGAGAGCTGTTGAGTAATTCATGGGTAGTCTTACCTAACATAGTTTCTAGGAAGGTTTGACCCCAAGTTTACACAAAAAAGACTCGACCAAATCTTACTTAATTTCAATAGTCTTTATAGCTTACGACTGTTTATGAATTGCTACATACACAAACACTCCCAATTTAACATAAATTATACATTTACTTAGCTTCCTGTAAGTTATTTTAGGGGTTTAGCTTTCATCACATACCTCCATAGTTAGCTGTGGTTACATGAGTGTTATCCTGGTACGCTCGTTAACAACTGCTACTACTTCAAGCTAATAACCTACAAAGTTATCCATCCACCACAGTGCTCAACCACACGACTTTGTGGCGCTGGTGTCGAACCAACGTACTCCCTCACACCACTAAGGCCGCCTGCCAACTGAACACTCCCTCAGTGACTCCAACAAGTGTCTGTTTACGGAAAGCTAAAATGAACCACCAGTTTGTGTTCTAAGGAAGAGACCCGCACCACATCTTTTTCAACTTTATTTATTTACTCGTGTCTACGTATTATGAGTCTCTGACACTGCTGATGTTAGAATTTTTTTTTTTTATATATTTCTTTAAAATGATAAAAGAGGAAGGTTATTTTTAGGTTTTCGGACGAAGATATGCCTTCAGGAGGTGAATGGACCGCGACCCACAACATCCGCCCTGGACCTGCGGGTATTTGACATTAGATAGACAGTGAAGTTAAAAGTAAGATAAATAGATAGAAATTCAGCAAAACCTCCATGCATATATTGTTAGATTGATAGACATTTATTTAAATCACCACAGAAGTTTACAGTGACTCACAATACAAAAACAGTGCAGGTATACAATATACAGTATATAATACGGTATAATATCAAACAGTAAGCTGATTCAACCACAGGCAACCCAACAAAGTAACCATGTGCAGATTACCAGTATAGTCATTTGGACTTGTATGACAGTTTTATTCAATAATCACCTGTTTATCACGAGACACATATAACATATACCCCGATCACCTTGTCTAATGTTACACGAACAAACTAGCTGTGACAGATTCAAGGTGGAACAATACTACACTATATTTCTTAAGTTAAATGTGATATTACTCATATTGAAAACTTTACCCATTTTAACCTAAACATTCAGACGAAAATTGAGATTTGTTTATCATAAACTGCAGTTGTTTTCAGTACAGTACGTATTACTGTAATTATTTGTCACCAACGCATGAGAGTTAACTGTACTACATCTACATAATGGCCATCCACTAAGTTAGAGGTGGCCATGTAGAGAATAGATCAGTGGCCTGTGTAGGATCCTTCCATTGTTCTTGATAATTTTGTCAAGGGCTATTTTGACCCCCAGCAGTACTGTTAGTGACTCCACAGCTTGGGCTGGTAGACCGTTCAGTAAGTCTATTACACCCTGTATGAAGAAGTATTTCCTTATGTTCTATATGTTAATTCACTTCAAAATCTTGCCTGCTAATGCCTGGATATTAAAGGCTAGTCGTTCATGCGGGACTTCATCAAACGCCATGGAAAAATCCATGTATACATCACATCCATTGGTAATCCCTGGTCCACGTAGGCTGTTATCGTTTCAAGGAACCAAAGTTTGTCAGGCAAGATTTCCTTATCACGAAACCGTGTTATGATAAGTTTGAAATTGATACGAGTCGATAATGTTGACCTACCTTAATTTGCCTAACAGCCACCCACTAGAGGTGGCCAGTGACCTGGTAGGATGATAGGATCCCGCCATTATTCAATTTAGATTCTCTAGAACTTCTAGATATTTTGTCAAGGTTTATTTTGTAATGAATTTAAACAAAAATAAAGAACGATAGATATCTAGTTGGTATAAATTATCACGTAAGTTCACATTGGTCCAGTATGCCACCCTTGAGGCGTACTGAATTCAAATTATAAAATATATACTGCACCGTATACACTACAGTAAGTACAGGTGTGCACGAATGGCAAAGGTATGTCGCTGAAAACTCATTTCCTAACGTTTGACGTTGACGTTATAATGCTGTTGCTACGCTTCAACAATTAAAGTCTTTAAACGTGTTACAAGATTAGTAATCGCAAGAGTCTATCAACTATTAAAATTTATGAGAAAATTCCTAATGAAGTATGTCTTTCTAAATAGAATTCTCTCGTGCTCTTCAAGCACTTAATATATATCTTATAGGTACTGCAGTAGTTTACTGTATTTAGTTTATAAACTTGAGTTAATAATCATAAGTATGTAATAATCAAAGTAGGAAAGTTTAAGTAACTAAGAAAAAACATAAATTTTATGCCAGCTATCTTTATTACGTAATTTCCGTGTTAAGTAAAATGTAAAATAAAGTTATTTATAAAAAAAATTTTTAATTGATATAAATTTATATTTTATGAAAATAACTGTTGTGTTTTACACAATATTTATGATAATAATTACCGTAAAGTGATAAAATAATAATAAACATATGAGGGGAGCACCATACCGCAAACTTGGTATAGTGTTGGAGTTGACGTGTTTGTTGTCAAAAATCATCTGACGGGTCGAGAGGCTGATGGCAACTCCGTCTGGTGTTACTGAGAAACAACCCCGTTGATCTGGCCATTTGTTGTCCCTCGTTTAATAAAATGGCAGACCAACAGAAATATTGTGAGAAGGTGGCGAGTCTGAGCTTCCCGGCCTATGCTGTGGTGGCTGTGACTGGCAGACATGTTGTGGTTGGTGGTGGAGGAGGCGCCGCTAAGACTGGCATAAGGAATCAGTTTGTAAGTAGTACAGTGTTTGCTGAATGGTAAATCTATTGAAATAAACGATACAAGTGGAGGAGACAGTTATAACCAGAAGGAGTTTATAAAATTCGTTCATTTTTCCCAGAGATGTTTGGATGATAGCATTTAGCCTCATGCAATTATGGTTTTATTTTCCATTAGTTATCGTAAGTTATGTGTTTGTTTAGGATCAAGACCATCTTAAGGCCCCACCCACCTTAATGTAAATGTAAGTATCGTTTTCTGTAATGGAGATCCGGTTAGCAACTTCATATAGTTAAACAACTGTATATAGTTAGCTACGGTAGGTCAGGTTCTGTGCATTGATCACATTTTCTTATTAATGCAGTAGCATGCAAATAACATCTCCAGAAATGTTATTACAATTCTAGTTATAACCATCTCCTCCACCTTTACCAATAAACTTCTAACAGCTTTTGGTAATTCTTTACATTCTTCCACACCTAAATGCCCCTGGCTAATTTAAATGTTTTGATATAGAACTAAAAAAAATTTCCTTATCTGAGAAAAGCTTATATCATTCTCAGCAATTGTAACTTAAGTATTTCATTATGCTAGAATTTAATGTTCAAGTAGAGTTGCTAGTGCTGAATATCTTTCTCAACATTTTATAACTTATTTAAAGGCTTAGTATTTGTTTTTACATAATGATACCCAAATATAAAATTTAGAATAAAAATAATCTTCCTCAATTCCTCTGTATGAGTTGTATTCATAACAGCCGTTAGAGTGCAACGTTAATTCATTCATTAAACAATAACCAAACTTAACCTGACGATCTTAGAACATTTTGCAGTTAATTAATTGCTGCTCTGCCAGGTGTAACATTGTGTACTATACAATGTTTCATAACAGGTTGGTACATATGGTAAGTTCAACCATTTGTAAGATATTTGTTTCAGGACTATTACTGTAATAACTCTTAAAACTTTCTTCTTTTCACTTTTGAGGATGTGTTGGAGCTTTATCACAATGGGACACAGACAGTGGGTGAACGTGTCCTCTCTTATGATGTCGGCGATGACTGCATCTCCAACATGGTCGGGTGGCCCGGAGCCATCACTGCAGCTTCAAACAGAATGACGGCACCGGTCATCTCTCTCGCAGTGGGACTAGAGGAAAAGTGTAATATTATGAAACTGAAGCCAATCCTACAGACTGTTAAAAAAGATGACCTACTCTCTCAACAAATGCCTAAGGCAAAGGATAAAGGTTAGTTTAAATTTAAATTTTATACAGATTCTGGATCATACACACACACACAAGGTACAGTAATGTGAATTGACAGATAGATACAAACACATGGGAAACATATCAGGCTTAAATTGTTGTATCTACATTTTTGGTTCAGATATACTGTACAGTAATGTTAACTGTAAGACATTCATGTCCAGAATATTATTTTTTTCGATATTGAAAGGAATTAAGTTGTGAGAGACAAACATGGCACCAACTTGTTCTTTATAAACAAATTCAGTAAAAAGGACACAGCTTAATGACAGTGTCACGAACCATAATTATGATACCAGTTGGTCCCTTATGAGAATCACTCTACTTTACTTGTAACGAACAAATGAGTAATTTTACATTACCTTTGAAATACTGTAATGAAATTTGGATTACATTGTGAATGTGTGTGTGTTGTATTGTCAGCTACTACATGTATTAGATTATGACACAATTCCTTATGTATGACTTATACAGGCACCCTGTTTATGGTTATTTGTAATGTAATATATTACAGTATTGTATTTAGAAAACAGGTAGAAATTGGCTTTTAGTAGATAGAATGACTGAAGTTGGCTCATGTTGAAGGCCTTGGGCTGGTGTTGAGTGTAGACATTCATCATTATTGAAGTATGGTCAGCTGTTGTTATATACAGTATTGTATTTTCTGTGGATTAATATCATGCAGCTTCAGTACACATTGATACTGTTGACTTTCTCACCAAGAGTGCCTGTGATCTTGTTGTCCCTGATTCTAGACCTATATCCTCCTGTATGGTCTTGTTTTCCCTGATCTAGGACCTTCACCAATGTTCGAAGTTGAATTCTAACATGGCCATGCAACAGTCACTCAAGTGCCACTTATAGTCCAGTCAAAATATGACAAATAGGGGGTCAACCCACCACAAATTGCATGAGAGGGAGGGCGAGGACAATCACCGGCTTGCACTTTGTAAACAAGGCTCCAGGAATTTAATACAATGTAATGACTTATTTGGGTTGGGCGAGTGATTTTTTCAGGAAAGTTGATTATTTTACTATAATATTTTTGTGATGTAAATAATTGGAGAATTATGGTGAAATTGCATACTGTCATGTTGATTGGGTTGAGGGGGAGGGGGTGGGGGGAGTTGTCCAGCCACCCTACCTCCCACCACCTATCCCACACAATTCACTTCACACTCTTAATTTTTCTTATTTTATACTGTAGTTTATTTTATTTATTTCTAATTCGCATTAGAGCACTGAAATTATATTTCCACAACTTTTTTGGTTTCTTATGTAACAATGGCACATACACATCTTTCTCACAGCTTATATGTTGTTACCTAGAATGTGTTTAATGTAGTTTAATTTGCCAGGTCACAGTGGAATAAGGAGGAGGAGGAGAACAACCAGTGAACGTAGTGCAGAAGAAGGCTCAACAGAGAAGGAAGATATAAGAGAGGAAAAAAAGAGAAAACGATCCCTTAATACAACTCTTCGTGGAAATAAATACTTCTCTTTTGATGTGGAGAAACTCTGCTCTACAATCACAGTTGTTAAGTAAGTTTAATTATTGTTTAATGCAACAATAACTGGCCTTAAACGTGTTTATACAATTTTTAGCTCAACAAAAATAGACAAGTACAGTATAACCTGTATGTAAAATAATGTTTTACCTCAAAGGACAACTCTGGAGGAAAAGTACTTTGATTTTTCCTGCCAATAAATAGTGTAGGTTAATCAGCATTAATTTGACGCCTCCATTCATTTATTACAGGAAGAAGTCTGATGACGAGGCTTACCAGAAGTGTTGTGGAATATCTTCAGATAATAAGTTCCTGGTGACTGGCGGTACCGACGGTCACCTTAGGTTTTGGAGTATACCAGACATGACGAAAATAAAAGAAATTAAAGCACATGAAAAAGAAGTAGATGATTTAAATATCAGACCAGATGGCAAACAGGTACAGTACAGTACTTTTCTTTAATAATGATATGTACTTGTATTGTACATGTAAACAAACAATACCTTGTACTGTATAGCTTTTTATGCTCAGGAACTCTGCAGTACCACAAATAACTAAACTAACCTAACATATAAAACCTAACCTAAATAAATTTTTATAGAAGCTGCTTTTTTGTGTTATATCAGATTGCATGATGATCCTGAGACTTGTGTTTTTGTCAGCTGTTGAGTTAGAATTTAATGCTAATTTTATAATATTAAATATTTATCTTGGACTTGTGTTTATTATTTTATTATTACAGTGTACTTTTAAGTCTTCTAATACCAATTACAGTACTGTATACACTTAATCTCCCTTCGTTCATTATTATTAATTCATTCTTATTATTATGACAAGCATGTTCTGCTGTGGTTCTCCCTTCCCACAACACTACCATAAAAAGCCATCTGGTTTACTCCTGTCACCTCACATAACTGTACATTACCCCTCAGCAGCACATCTGTCCCCAAAAATCATGACACAATGATCACCATACATTTATACACACTACTACTTCCTGTGCATCCTTTACCCTACCCTTCCATTTCCTTTGACTTCCCCTCTCTCCTTGACTCATCTTTCTCAGAATTATATACTTTTTTGTTCACGTACACTATCGGCTCTCTCATAGTTCACCGTCCTCTAAACTCTTTCCCTAACATTCATTTCTAACTTCTCATTCATCTTGCCTATAAGAACAGGGTCATCTGTAAACAGTAACTGACTCACCACCCAATTGCATTCTATATCATTATTCACCAAACTTACACACCCGTCTCATTCTGTCACTTGCGCTGGCAACATTACATCCTTAATGTAGTTCTGTTTCCATTTAAAACGAGTTTCATCATTCTTAACAAATTATGACATGTTTCACTCCCAAACAACACTAAAAAAATATCCCTTTTACCGCTTACAGTTTCAGTACTAATGTTTTATTTATTTTGTTCACTTATGTCTGTATATTCAATGTTTTTTCTTGGTTCTGCATATTAGAGTCATTGTTGTCATCATGGTTAGCAGTAAAATATGTAAATTTGTTTTCAAAATTAAATTTAGTAACTCCTAATCTAACTCACTTTATATTTTAGATGTAATGTTATTGTGTACAGCAGGTGAGCCACATTGTCTTCAGCCATTGCTTGCTTGTACAGTTGGGGAATGCTCTGTGTAAGACACCAGGCCACAAGTTTGAACCTCTGAATGTTAGACCTGTGGTAGCGAAGCAGTAGCCAGACACTCGCCTACCTGGTAACTGTGAAAGAGGGGGGAGGGGTATCAGAGTTGATTACATCACAATATCAACAGTCAGTGATAGTGCTTAGAAGATATAATACCACATAAGGTGGTGAAGCTCACCAGAAGTTACCAGTTTGGTGAGTGTCTGACTACTGCTTCACTACTGTAGGTCTCACATTCAGAGGTTCGAACTTGTAGCCGGGTGTCTTACGCAGAACATTCCCCAACTGTACATTTTGTACTGTGACGTGTGTGCTTAATGTCTAGGTATTTTACAGGTAGTGTCCGTGTGCAAGCCTACTCGAGAATGTTGTGTCTGGAACGTCAAAGATGGCAAGAAGTTCATCCAGGTGGCACTACAAACAAATGGTGTAAAATACAAATGTTTTCGTGCCAGGTAATGTTTGTGGAATTATAGAAATATTGTATTACAGTTTAGGCTCGTGTTTGTATGAGATTGATATACAATATACAGACACTCAAAAGTACCTGAATTATCAATCTAATAAGTATATACTCTGTAACTTAGGATTGTATTTAATTAGTATGATGGGACATTAGATTCATCCTAAACTATGTAACCACAGTTCACCTATAAAAGTTCCAAAGTATTCAAGGTAGGTAGAGTAGAGTATTGGGGTTAACAAGAACTGGTAACGAGAGTTACTAAGGTTAGACTAAAGAAGAAAATACAACAGTAATACAGTATACTGTACAGTATAGTGGTCAGAATGTATAGAGAATGTAAGTGAAGGATGTGTGTGTTACTTCTAGTTGTTGTCTGAACCTTTCATGATGCATCCTATACTTGTCTTCCCCCCTCTGTATCCCTGTCCTTTATGGTTTCTATACACCTTGATACATCCTTCACAAGGGTGAGAGAAGTAAAGATAAATAGATAGGTATATAGCTAGATGCTGTGGTTAACTTTACACAATGAACCAAAACATTTTTCACTAGAAGTTTAGCCTCCCCCTATTTTTATTTCTTTGGGAGAACACTTTATAAGTTACCATTCTAACTTGGAACTGTTCACACTTTCAGATATGGTACTGTCGAGGGAAGCCCAAGCAAGACTCGTCTTTTTACAGTCAGTAACCCTATCGTTGGCACCAAAAATCCTGCGATTGTTTCCAAGTGGTGTGGTAAAGCATACACCCAAGAACGGACCCAGAACTTAACTGGGTCATTGAGCAGTCTTTCACTCAGTGATGACGGCCGTTTTCTTGCAACTGGTACTATGAGTGGGACCATTTATATCTTGATTGCCTTCAGTTTACAGGTAATACAGTCTCAGTAACCATTAGGTTGAAAGTTTAAAATTAGGGGCGGGCCTTCTTCCCTTAATTTTGTTCTGAAACAAAGGGGTTGGATCAAGCTTACTAAGTGAGCTGCTCTGTATAGTACACATTGCCAAGGAATGAACACTGTTCTTCAATAATTTTTTATATTTTATCTAATTACTGAACAGTCATTATATTGCAATATTAGTTTGATGTCAGTATATGTGTGATTAATAATGCTTTCCAAGAAAGTTCATTCTACATACAGTATTACAGTACAGTACTGTACGTATATGTGTCACTAAACTGTCTCTCACGTCGAAAAATCTTTCCAGCAACTGCGCATAATAGAAGATGCCCATAGTATGTTCATTACTGGACTAGAATGGCTACCAACAGAAAATAAAGAGTCACAGATGGTGCGAGGATTCTCTGATGCCTCAGTTCTGTCCATTTCTTGTGACAATTCCCTCAAAATTCACCACATTCCTAGACAAGGTAGGAAGACCTTTAGAAATATTTACCAGGAATATTTTCAGTTTGTATATCAGTGCATGCATCCATCCTTGTGTACACACATGAATACTAGGAACAAACACAAGCCGATTCAAATGCTTTCAGGATTATTCACATCTTATGGAGCTTTGTAGTGTATGTGAACCATACTTGCTGAAAATATTAATACAGTAATCATGAACGTGCTAGTACCTTTTTGTTTGTTTCCCAGTGGTCATCTGCTTATTAAATGAATCACTGGTCCTCTGTGATTTTGGGGGGGCTTGTATGTGTGCATGCATGCAATTTTTTTCTACAGTATACATGTGATTTTATTGTTTACTCGAGTGTAAAAATTTAAAAATAATAGATATATTGTACATACAGTAAAGTTCAGAAAGCAACTTCAGGCCATCCTGTCAATCATGTTGTATAAAAAGGCAGTAATTTTTTTTTTTAATTTTTTCTTTTTTTTCTTTGCATCTTATACATTCTGGAGAACTTTTTCCTTCTTTAAAAAGAACTGTTGCTTTAGAGAAACAACACTAACTGCTGAGTCCTTACTATATGTTTGACATGGCTACCATGATCAGGTTTTAATGAAACACCATTCTTGGGTCACCAAAATTAGTGTTCAATGTTTTCAAGAGCTTTTGTAATGTGTCACCTAATTCATAAACAACATATGAGCTAAAAAATGTACTGGATAGCAAAGACTCACAGTATCATTATTATTATTATTATTATTATTATTAACTGATGGTGTGATTTTTTCAGAAATGGTGCCAGTGTGGGTGGTGGCCATCCTTGCTGCAGTTATATTGTGCTGTGCATTTCTCTTAGCCAACTTCTTAGGACTTTAGATCATGTATACAAAGATTTTTTATTTATTTTTTTTTCAATATTTTGTAATAAATTTGTAACTCTTCCTACATATATTTACATATTATATTTTGAACTGTGTGAAATATTGTACTGTAAAATCACAGTAGACTGCTACAATGTGCTGGTCATTTATGCTTGGTTGTATAAGGAAGTGCTCAGCTAAATCTAAGTAGACCTATTAGCAGCCTTGTACTACTTGGAGATTTTTTTTCAGTATTACTCTATTGTTCTTTGTTCCTTTGACATTATATATAACCTATGTCAATTAAGTATACAGTGGTCCCTCGGTTAACGAACGGTTCGATTAACGAAATTTCGGTTAACGAGTTACCTCCCACAAGGATCTTCAATTCGGTTAACGAACAAAACTTCGATTAACGAAATCCTTACGACAAACACGTTTTGTTGTGAGCATCAGCTGATCAGCTGATGGACTAGTCTGCCAATTCAGTAATCTGTTCTATGTTTACATTTGTTTCCAGATGGAGTAAATATCAAGAAAGTTGTGCTCTTTAATATTTTAGCATTTTTTATATTAAAATTATTAGTCATTTTAAAATTTAGTTAACATATTGATAATATATGCAGTACAGGGAACTAGTTCTATGTGTGCCCGTCAGCCGCTTGACTCACCCACCAGGCGTCAGTGTGGCTTTGTTTACAGTGGATTGAACATCAATTTTGTTGGTGTCTTGAATATTTTTGCATTTTTACATTAAAATTATTGGTCATTCTGAAATTTAGTTAACATATTGTTAATATATAGCACAGTGCAGTGTTGATTTAAATAAAATAATCTTGGATTACACCTAGTGAACTTAAAATTTTATTGGTGAAATTAATGCATCAAGCATGGGTCCCCTGAAAGGTGATTTCTCCTCCATCCCCACTTCCTTCACTTCTCCCTTCTCCTCCACCCCTACTTCTAATTCCCATCATCAACCAGGAACCTTCTACATACACACCTCAAAGTAAGTGTACTTTACTGCATTTTTTTTTTTACTTGGTATGTACTTTTCTGTGAACTGGAATCAATTACCCAATATCCCATTGTAACAATGGATTCGGTTAACGAACGACTCTGTGGAACGAATTGTGTTCGTTAACCGAGGGACCGCTGTATTTAATTTTTTCTGTACCTGTGATTGTTGATTATAAAATTTGGGGTTAGACCAAGGTTAACGTAAGCATGTGTGGCCATTTCTTTTTCCTTAATATTCTGGGTTGTGCAGTTGGAAGAAATAGACTTAGAGATGGCCAGTGTGTAATGCCAAATATAGTACACAGAGTGACTAGCTCTGTCTGGGCAGGATATTATTTCTAGTTTATGGAAATTATCGTCCATTAAAAATAAGGTGCTGTTTAGTTACTATGCAGAGAGCCCTTGTCGTATGCCATACATGTGGTCCTGAACAGTGAAACATTGAACAAAACAACACAATACTGTGGTTTTTGTTTTAATCTGAGGCACAACTGTCACTAATTGGACATACTGTACTGTATTTCACTTATTTTTATGAAGGTTTAATACTATTTTAACAGTGAAAATAAAGTTTGCTCAAAATGAGCCAAATTTTAAAGTTTTTAAAGATAATTGAATATGTTCCCAAATTCATCAACAAAGTATATAAGTGAAACATGAGGTGACCTGCAACAAGGATTCGCTGTACTTATACAAGCATGAATCAATAAGATGTGAGTCATATAAATTAAATTATTCATATTTATAATACCTGTACTGTATATAGCTCTGGTAATTATGGTACAGTGTGGAGTGTATGTGTAGATTTTAATTAACTTGTTGATTTTGTCCAAGTCAAAATATTACCTCTGGAATGTTGATAAGGTTTTTTGGTGCTTCTTGATGTGTATGCACAGTATTTACTTCATCTAACAAATTTTAAATTGAGGAGCTACAGGTGTATGTATATTCCGTCATACTTCACTTGCTCCACCAATGTTTATTAATACTGTACAAAACTGTAGCCCACTCTACACTGTGGACAGTCATGCCTAAGAGACCCACATTCACTGTTTTGTTATTATTATTCTTTCCATTTAATTTTCCCTCGGTAGCTTTAGTTCTCTGTATCTATAATTTTTTTTAATTAATGTGGATTTTGACTCAGGATAAATGAACATCAAGTTGACTTTTAACAATTCTAGCTTCTCTGGGTCTAAGGATATGGGCATAAAATGCAGCTAGAACAAATTATAGATAATTGGTTGTCTCAGAAAAATTACTTTGAGGATTTAGCATTTGTTGTTTTCGAACAAAGAAATATCAAATTAAAATACGTATGTTCAAATATGTGAATAAGATTTTTTAAGATATGAGTGACAGTTTTGATGTATTTGTTGTGCATATCTAGTGACCATCAGAATATGGAGAAATGGCATTGTGATGAACTGATTGTAATAGAATGGTAATAAAGAATTGTAACGTCAACACAGCACCGTTGTTACACTGAATTATATTGTAAATTTCATTTCCAAATCCCAGATTTACTATATATTTAACCCTTCTTTTTACAAATTTTTTGTGTGTGGCAAATATTTAACTGTCTTATTAAAAATGAAAAAAAGCATTGTTATTTACACTGTCCCCATGATATTATAGGTTGCCAACCCCTGAGCAAGAAAGGATTTATGTAATCTGGGTCTTTACATGACAAAGTGACCAGTTCTGTGTAGGTTAGACTGTTACCTCACCAAACCCCGCCAGGCTGCACAACGAAACTTTTCATGCCATGGTATAATTGTCCACATTATTGTCACCTGTATTGTCTATTTTAGTGAAATAATCATAAGTGATAATCTAGAATGTTTATTGTAAACTAGCTAGATATAGTAATTCATTTATTTAATTTTCAGAATATGACTCGCATCACTTTGAGTCTTTGAGAAACTTTTTGGTTGATTTTGTTTCTCTTTATATATACTGTATATATATATATATATATATATATATATATATATATATATATATATAAATATATATAAATAAATAAGTCTTATAGATTTAGTCTTTCATGATAATTCTTCTAAAATTCAACTTTAAGTTTGGAGACTCACTTCCAACATGAAACTTAAAACACACTAGTGCTTAAGAATGTTGTTTTTTAATGTTTCTATATAAATAAATATTATACTGTACAAATTTTTGTGAGGAGAGAGGGAAAGTATTCAATAATACAGTGAAAAGTGTGTTGTACATGGCACCTACAGTATGTTATAACCTGGGTGTGATACCGTAATCAGTCCTCTCTCGTCTAAATTTTGTGGTATTATTGACATATATATATATGTATATATATGCTGATAACCACAAGGAAAGAAGAAAACACGAAGTTCCCAAACGCTTTCGTGTAATTCACATCTTCAGGGGTGAGTACAGGTACAGACTGTACTCGCCCCTGAAGATGTGAATTACACGAAAGCGTTTGGGAACTTCGTGTTTTCTTCTTTCCTTGTGGTTATCAGCATATATATATATATATATTTTTTTTTGTGTGTGTGGGAGGGGTGGTAAGAAAGTGTTTATGTGAGATAGTATTCCATTAGTGCAGATAAATAAAAAATATAGAAACATTTGATTTTGAACAAACTTTGAAATGTCATAAGAGTGAAACATTACAGACAATATATAGTGCACAAAGCGATGATCCATCCATTTTATAGACATACACTATGTTAATAGTCATGTAATAATAACATGCGAGTGAAATAAGTGATCAAGAATTTATCAGAAATTGCAACAATGTCTGGTGGTCAAAAAGTTATGTCAATGAGTGAGTCAGTCAGTCAGTCAGAATTGACACAGATAGAGCAAGGTGATACAGCTACAGTAAGAGTTTATAGTCATCTTGTGGAGGGGCCTTTGCTGAAGTGGCCTGGAGTAAGAGTAGTCCTACAGAGAGAAAATAATGTTCAGTAGTATGACTTGTTTGTGTTTATTCTTCTCCCACTTTTGTGAGACAAATCAAGGTGATAGAAACCTCAAAGAAGGGCAGAGAAACATGGAAGTGCAAGACAGAGATAGCAACAAGGAAAGGATAAACAAGAAGTAATCTAACTTATAAATACAGTATAATTTAATCCATTGGGATGTCCTGTTGGTAAAAAGTAAGCTCTCGTAAATCTCTTAATGCTTAATGACAAGATGGCTTACGGTACCTACAATGTAAGAAAATTTTACAGCTTTCACAGTTAAGGATGACAGGTGCAGTGTTTGAGTGTCACCCTCATAAATATTACAATGATCACTAACTCTTGTTCTTTCATGTCATATCTTAGGAATACAGTCGGAGTTTGAATGAAATGTGTTTAAATGTCACAGAATAAATTTGAATCGGGGTGAGATCAATTTAAATTTGAAGAAAATATACATGACTGAATACAATTTATTAAAAGTGGAAACTAGATAGCTCCTGTACTTCTGTCCTCCACAATATGAAAGTCCCCTAATATAAGATTATCATAACTAACATTCACTGCATAAGTATTAGCATTGTGCAATATATATACTGTATACTGTATATATATGCAGACACTTTTGGTATCCTTTTTTTAACTACTAGTTCTCTATCATGATCACTGTATGACAGCCAAACCAAAACATACAGTTCTTTAGCAAATAACTGTAGACTTGTATGGCTGTACCAAATGACTAGAATTGTTGTAGCAAATGTGTGTGTATACCATCTAAAAAGAGAGAGAGAGTGTGTGTGTGCCATTCTGTGTATATGATCAGTATACCATGTTGGGTGTGCACCATCTTATTTGTATATTCGCACAATAAAGTATCTTCATGGCCGAGTCTAATGAATTTAAAAATTAACACTGTGACTCCTGTTGTCTCAGTTGGGTTTTCAAAATCCTTCATTCGCTGTGTCATATTCTCACACAAAATTGTAAAGATACTTTTTTGGAGCGAGTGTACATTACCAGAAGGTGTGTTCAGGACATCATCATCCTACTTAAACACAGTAAATATCACATTGATGGACAGATAAGGAAATACTGTAATACTATTCTATAGTGTTTGAACGTGTGTATAATAATGTGAAGAAATTGTATTATTAGAGGAGCACAAGTAATGTTTGGTAATTATTGCTGTCATTATTATTACTCTATAGGTACTGTATTATTAATATTGTTATTATTACTGTGCATTATAATTATTACCTGTACTGTACTGTATTATTATTTTCAATGGTCTTATAATTATTATTCCAATTGAATTCATCACATACTGTACAGCTGGCCAAAAGTTAAACTGAGCATAACTCTCATACTCCTGAATGAGGCTCTGCTCAGTACAGTATTATGTGATTGATGTTTCTATAGTTATTTATTTACATTATCCTTATTGGACATAATGTATTATTCACAATGTATGACTGGACTAAAGTTAAAACGGACATAACTCTCACATAGTTAAATTAGGTTAAATATTTATTTTTTCGTGCTGCTGAATATAGTAATTTATTGCTGTGTATGCAAATATATACAGTACTTTATATGTATGTAATGATGTGAATCAGGACTTACGAAGAGGCAGATGGTAATTAATACTGTAGGTATTATATGATCCAGTTTGAGACATTGTAATTTGGAGTTCCTTATATACAGGGTAGACCTGTTTTATTTTGCTTATTTGTTTGTTTTACTGTTGGTCTCTCTAGTGAAAATTGTTTACTGTACTGTATGCTGGTCAATACTGAATAGTGAAATTTATTAAATGATTTATTGGTTCCCAAATGTTGTGTACTTAACACATTTAGTGAATATTAAAGTTATTTAATCCTTGGTGTGGTGGGTGTTAAGAAGGACAGTATAGTACGGTACATAAATATAAATTATGTAGTCGAGAATATTTGCAAATTTTGGCCTTTATGAATCACTTGGAGATTAGCCCCAAGTGCTCACCTGAAGTTTTGCCCCACAGCTTAACGAGCCTAACGTTTTACCACTCAATAATTAACTGGGGACTAATCTTCAGGTGATCTACAAAGGCTAAAATTGTAAATGGTTTCAACTACATCACTGATATACACTATATATACAATGGCAATTTGGCAATTCTATTCATAAACAAACAGAATTGTTATTTACAAAGTTTACTATGTAATACACAGCTGGCTAAGGGTATGTGTGACTGTAGCTGCTGTACAGTATAACAACTAAACTGCAAAATAGGCAATTTATTTAAATTTTAGTGAAAATCATAGAAATTGGTTAAGATTCTCAACCAAAGACATTAAAATGTTTTTTACAAGTAAAGAAGTAGTAGAAGACACTGTTTAGGTACATTGTTTGTATACCTGCATTATCTATGTACAGTTGCGGACAAAAAAATATTAGGCAGGGAGGGTTAGGGGGTAGGTGGAGACTCGGCAGCGTCACATTGGGGTGGCGGTGAAGTCTACTCAAACATTCAACTTTTTACAGCTTTTTTGGGGTTGCTTTGGTGTACTGTATTGAGTTACAGTATTAAGAACACATTGTTAGTATAAGTTGTGCCTGCCTCATAATTAAACTAAAAAAATCAATTTGTGGTGTGAAAAGAAAATCACAGACTTTTAACTACCATAAGATGATGGTTCACTCCAATATGAGAAGCAGTTCACCCCTGACTGGCGCCGCCAACTGGCTACTAAGTATAAACAATAGTTGGCAAGCAAAGAGTAAAGGGAGGGACATGAATATTTTGCTTGTTGAGGGGTTGGTCTTTGGCTAGTTTGAGCCTCTCGGCTCAGTAACGGTTGAATACAATCCGTAAGACCTTCAACAGCAGAGGTAGGGACAGCCTCGGCTCTGGTTATGTATGCTGGACTAGTGTCACCCATAAGGTGAGCCTCATGGATGTTGTCGCTGAACATGAGGGAACAGCCAGCCTACGGTAGCATCCAATCAAAGCTGTAAACATCGCAGGAAGCGAGACAAGGATGTCCCGCGAACAGCCTCAGCAGCTCTGGTGCTTTAAACGGGGATGTCTCAAGTGAATTGTCAAAATACTAGATATGTAATAGCAGATCACTTCTTTTGGGCAAACAGAAAGTCAGATGTACAGTAGCTAAAACAACTATCTGTGCAGCTGGGGGTCGATATGCTACGAAATTTTACGTGTGACTAGTGACAGTGTGGGGTATGGGGATGTTTGGTGTTCACTCAGGATGGAATGGCGAAAGGAAACTCACAATGTGCTCTCTGTATACATGTTGTATTGGATGTACAATGCAGCTTGGTGCTGGGAAGGCAGCATGGTTACAAGCGTGATGTAGAGAGAGCTGGTTGGTGAGGGTGCTCAGAGGAGGACAGCTTGTGGGTCGCCATGCTCGCCGGCGGGAGCGAGGACCGCCAGGCAGGCGGAGGAGGAGGAGGTGTTGCTGGCTGGTTGGTGTAGGTAGAAAGAGAGAGATCACCACGAGGTCAGGTCTTAAATAGCGGGGGGTAGGCGTGGCTTAGTAGTTGACCCCCGCTCCGTGGGCGGCGCTGGTTGACCTAGACCACGAGGCACACTGTGGAATTCGTGGGGTCGGCTACTCAGCGACAAACAGCGTTTGTAGGGGAGAAATCCACTACAACAGTCCTCACATACCAAAATTTATCATTCATGGTCTCATATTGTTTCCCGCAAAGTATGTACTGATAGTTGTTTTAGCTACTGTACAACAACCAACTTCATTCTTATAGATCCCACTTTGTACACCGAGTCCTAGACTATCACTCCCACCTTGCTGCCCAGCCCTGCGGGGCAATGCCTGTAGTGCCTGATCAAGTTCCAAGGAGGGTGGGAACTGATTTCGAATTTTCTCATCATTTAATCCGCATAACCCCAGACTCTAGTGCGCTCTAAAGGTGGGCCGGGGGCATAAGACTACGTAAGGAGCCGACTGAGGTGACATTACCAAGCGTTGTGCCTCACGCCTTGCAGCCAATCCCATGACAAACAAATACATAGCACCTGTTAGCTGCCAACTCCCTGGTGAGCATGACTCACCTCCTGCCTTAGGTCTACTGGCGCACCAACATCACCTCCCTGCCTTACTAAGTGGCGTATGAGGCAGTAACAAGATGCAATCACGTTTTGGTGTGAGGAACCGAAGTCAAAGAGGATTGCTCGAATGACACCTCAGTCAACTTTACATACACACACGTCACCAGGCTAGATGCAGAGGTGAAGGACATTGTGGTGATAGCTGCTTGACAGTGTTGCCCATCTGGATATTCTCAACATGCTGTAAAGAGGGGAGCTGGACGATCTCCCTGAACATCGTGTCATCCTCATTCTCATAGCAGTGTTTTAGGATCCACCTTTCATGCCCAACGTTAATCACAAAATTGTGGCCAGAGGAACCTGCGCCCAAGTACTCGGTTCATCATCTTGCCAAAGACGGTGGCGTCGATGATGGCCACCCAATGGTTTCATACATGCGGTCAAATGGACTCGTGGAAACATACGAATACGTGAAAGACATTTTCGTGTTTTTATCAAAATAACGACTTTCCATAACACCTGAATTGAAAAAATCAGAAAATTAGGTTTCAAGAAAATAGATGACTTGACTAATATTACACTATGACGCCATCAACACGTTAAAAGTAGTGGGGTAGTAAAGATTAGAAACAAATGATGTACTGTTCTGATGATTAAGAGTGATGTACGGGTAGTGAAGATTAGGTGACATGTGGTGGAGATGTGGTGGAGATTAGGTGAGATGTGGTTAAGATTAAGTGAGATGTGAAGGATGTAAACACACACCGTGGTAATACTTTAATATCCATTCCATAATTGGAGATATGTTCTCCCTGAAAAAAGTCCCACACTCGACCACTGATAAGTTATTTTATCATACTAAATTCCCGTTGCTTTGTTAACATGGTGTGAATTAGGCTGCCCTCAGTCAGCTGACACTACACTCCCGTTTTATTACCGACAATATTCACACCTCAAACTTTTGTTCACTTCCAAATTGCATGTTTTCTCTAATAACTTTCTACCTTTAGTGTATATACATAATTAGCATATGAAATTTAAGAATACAAAAACAGTAAACACTACGTCAGTTTAACAAAAGAACGCAGTTAATTGCTCATTTCCATTGTGCTACAGTAGAAGCATTGTGTGTGGGGATCAACACCTGCTATTGTACAGTACTAAATGCTTGGATGTTTAACTGGTATTTGTGAACACTTATTATGAAGCAAAAACTCCTGAGATGACACCCTACAATTGTCACCAGATGCTAAATTTTCTCACAAGGTGATAAAAGAGGTAGGGAGGAGCACTTCATATTGTATCCAAGTGGATATTTTGTGATTGGCGCCGCTTGTTCTGTATCATTTGTGGGACGTGTGCATTTTATCTGTTGGTGCTGTATCATAGGTGGGAGGTGACAGCAGATGCTGAATACAGTATATTTCATTTCTAAGTTTTCAGTGAAAAGTGAAGATGTGGCGAATAGTAATAGTGGCGGTGGTTCTCACTTTCACTCGTCAGGTAGGTGCCAATCCTCATGGATTCCTATTGTAATATTGATCCCCTAGAATAACAGAACATGTAATGGCCACCACACCTAGAGGTGGTTAAAGACTGGAAGTCAGTGGCCTGTGTGATCCCCCTATTGTTCTTGATATTTTGACTGCGATTTACGTGTCATCATGGCTTCCAAAGCTTATGATTCAATCGCTCAAACTTCTCCGTTTATTTTTTCTATTGATAATTTAATTGATATACTGTAATGATTGGCCACATGAAATCCACTTTACAAAAATTTAAGTAAACTAAAAATCATCATTCATCACACACATACAGCGAAAATCAATAATTATTTCCAAGTTGAAGAGTGCTTAATTACTAGCAAAATTTTTTTCCGTCAGGCGATATTTTAGAGAGAACAAATGTACTTGTCAACTTGGCAGGTACATTTATTTTTTCTTGTATTTGCCTTCCCACAATGTGTGGCATCTTTATACATTCTTCAATACCTGTACTTTAAACCATACTTTTGGCACTGTTGAATATACCATTAAAGCCCTCCCCACGTTCTCGAATTTTGTCTAATATACTTAATACGTGTGAACAGCAGGCACTGAAATCACAATAAACGCTTTTTAATGTAGTTGGAAAGGATGTAAGAAAAAAGTTATGCAATTGCATCCTGGGGAAGATCGAACTGGGCCTTTATGGCAGTAACTGAGCTACGAGACTGTCTTCCAATACTCTAAGTGCGTGTACTGTCCAATTGCTACATAAAGTTCCTTGAAACGAAGGACAGAATCACGTCTTTCAATCCAGGTGTCACATAAAGGAAGTAAGACAGCCGCGCTCTTTAAGGAGAGGAACCCGAAAAAAAAGGTATTAAACGGCCCCAATCGTTCCCAAGCAGTTGCGTATCAGTGGTATGCCGTACTACTTTAATACAACAAAGTTTAGAGAATGTGCTCCACAGTCCTCTACGGTATAAATAGAGCCTTAGTTTAGTACAAGTGATCGCGGGCCCTTCGTGCCCGGTGAAAGTTTGAATGCTCGTGACAGCGTACAGTGAATGAGGGTGCGCCAAGTGTATAGACTTGCATCGTTTTCTATCGTAAATAATATTGTTAACTAATGCCTTCCTAAGAAACCATCGACATGGGACCAGGTTTGTTCCACTCTACGAATTTTTTGCGATTTTTCCACCAAGTTTGATGAAAAACGATTGTGCCGTTTCGGCTGCCCAGGACACACACACGCCTAGTCCTATAGTATATTAGATACTGTGATGTACTATTGGGACGAACTCCGTTCAAATGCTCACTCATGGAAGTTGCACCGTTATATCCTTGTCCAACCAATTTTTCTCAATCATGGTTAAATTTCAACGTTTCGTTCATATATATATATATATATATATATATATATATATATATATATATATATATATATATATATATATATATATATATATATATATATATATATATATATATATATAGTAGCCTATACAATCGTTTTTCATCAAACTTGGTGGAAAAATCGCAAAAAATTCGTAGAGTGGAACAAACCTGGTCCCATGTCGATGGTTTCTTTAGGAAGGCATTAATTAACCATTTTATTTAAGATGGAAAGCTATGTAAGTCTATGGACTTAGCACAGCCTCATTCGCTGTACGCTAGCCAAAAACGAGCATTCAAACTTTCACCGGGCACGAAGGGCCCGCGATCACTTGTGTGTGTTTGTGTATATAATATATATATACAGGGGTGTGTGTGTGTGTGTGTGGACTCGTCAATCTTTTACTTTATCTTTGGAACAAATCATTAAATATCACATCCTATTCTGTCAATAATTTGCTAGGGTACTTCGCCTTAGAGCAATTCCAAATTTATGTTCCCTAACAAGTTAACACTCGGCAGTACCCTCCTAACACCAGTTAATATATCCTCGCAATGAGCCACATCACCCACCTGGTTTTGGACAATCATTCAATAATGGAAGATCAGAAGAGGAGCGTGTCACCACCCAAGGTCCATCCATAACAATAACTTTTCCTGCCCCTCTATCAACTAACCAATCACAGGCCTTCAAAGGCTGACAAACCTCTCCAAGACAAGTGCCTAACAAGCCATTACCAATAGTTCCAGCTGTTCTATTAAAAGTTAAACCAAATACTGACACAATAGAGGTTCACTTCACATTATACATTTATTCCATCATCTACTTCAGAAGCTCCATTTACAAGATTTATACATTATATTTAAATAACAATTATCACGGGTATTTAATAAGTTAACACTTTTCATCAAAACGTTAATATTATTTCTCATTTAACAATATATCCCTACTTAAAAATTCACAACACAATTATGAATTTGTGACTGAATATACTGTAAATATCGTCAATATTTAGGGAGTTTACTAATTACCAGTGTGTGTTGCAATGTGTGGGGTGGAGGGAGAGAGAGAGAGAGAGAGAGAGTCATACTAAGCACAACCCGCGTGTCTTCCAGTGTGTAGAGGGGCAGGAGTGCCCGTGTGAGTTACGCCAGGCTGACCCAGTCTTCCCAGGGTCTGATGGAACTCGCTGGGACTGTGAGTACGTCAGTCACGGACTCTCAGAAATCCCCACCTCCTGTTGGGCACTCAATCCTGACGTTACCCAGGTGAACGCCCGCACGTTACTTACCTTTCTCTAATTTAATCTAGCTTGATCAGGTTGTAACTCCATCTAACTTTGATTTAATATGACACAAATTTTACAAAGTAATAGTTATTTTTTTATCCAACTTTAACAAAAATTATTGTTAACCTCATCTAAACTAATGTTCAGCTAACCTAATGTAACCAATCGCAATCTAACTTAACATAATTACAAGCCACATTATATTGAAGGAGACTTACATTTATCAATTTATTTATTTGTCCTTTTGAGTAGATCTTCCTGGACTACAACAGTATAAGCCAGGTGACAGGTGACAGCTTTTCGGGGCTCACCAACTTACGAACTCTCTCCCTCAAGGAGAATAATATTGCCACCATCGACAACGGGGCGCTGGCTGGTGAGGCAACTTGTAATACTGTACCTGGAAAATGTTACTTTTGAACTTGTAATGTTTTTAAAGTGTTAATAATGCACTTATAATATATGTAAAATGTTAAAAGTACACTGATGACATAATTAAATATTTATATGTAAAATGTTAAAAGTACACTGATGACATAATTAAATATTTAAAAGTTAAATAACTACAGTATTGGCAACAATCAGATGTGTTGGTCAGCGAGGTAATTTTTTATTTAAGAAAATGTTGATAGGGAACTAATAATACATTTATGGTATCTTACCAATAATAATTTAAGAATAATAACAATGATAGTAATATTAGTAGGAGTAAAATCCTAACAATATAACTTCGAAAAGGGGAAAGAATAATTGTGTTCCTGTAATTAGTTAATAATACCATGGCTGCTGGACTAACGTATAATACTGTACAGTGGTATTCGCTGATTCAAGTTATTTCATCAATATATTACTTTCAGGTCTGAGTCAGCTGGAGTTCCTGGACGTGTCAGGTAACTCACTCACTGAGCCGCCACCTGAGATATGGAGCTTGACCACCCTCACTCAACTCTATCTCGGTGACAACCAACTCACTGATGCAAACAATTACGGTATATCTAACTTGGTGAGTCTTGTCTACCCGTGTTTTTTTTCTACCTCTGTACAGGATGTGACTACAATCTTGCTCAAGTTTTAAAAAAATATTACAGCAAACCAAGGGAGACCAGTATTTTTTTTTTTTTTTGGGTGGGGGGGGAGGGCGAAGGAGTGATTTTGATGCTTAACATACCAAGTTTTATATGTTCTTCAGTGTGCACCTCAAATGTACCGTTAGCGAACCGCAACACAACCAATCGATACTCCACTGCAGTCCAACACATCTTTCGTCACTTTTGATGCCATTGGTTATCCTTGTGGAAACGTTTCAACGTTAGTAACTGGGGTCTGGAAAACATCATATTTGACATACCTCCACAAGAAGATATCTAAGGTCGTAATGTCTGGAGACAGTCGGGAGGCCCAAAGACGGGCCCATTTTGTCCAATTTCCTCAATCCATCTGCCAGGGAGGTTCTTGTCAAGGAAGTTACGCACAATCAAATTCCAGGTTGGAGGCACACCATATTGCTAAAAAAAAACGAATGGTTGCAGTTCTTTCAACTGCGGGACCACATAATTGCCCAGCATTTCAAGCTGCACATGAATCCACGATTCATGGTAGTTAACGCATCCAGACATGTGAAATGTAGTTTCACCAAAACAAACCCTTTTTGAGTACCCTTTATCTACATGGATGGTGTTCAGCATGGAACATGAAAACTCATATAGCGACGGGGCTTGCCATTAGGTGAAAGGTTTAACTTTAAAGCTTTGACTATTTGCACTTTATATGCGAAAAGGTTCAATTTCTTGTGTACAACTTTGTGCACCGTTGACCTTGGTAGCCGCAGTTCATTGAAGTACTACAAATGTAATTTCTAAGGCTGCATTGGAATGTCATTTTGGACATCAGCAACAGTTTCTTCTTAAACACCTGGACCTCCACTTCGAGGCAAGTTATTCACACTTCTTTCTCCCGAAATTTGTGAAGCAAACTCCTAAAGCTGGGTTTAAACGGAGAGTCCTTTCCATTTAAACTTTGCAAACCAGATGGTACATTGGGCGCCCTCCTGTGTAGTCGCCATCTTCATTCAAGTTTCCATCATTAGCAATTGGGCACTCGAATTACAAAATGTAAACCAGAAAAAATCATAACTTAAGCAACAAACTACAAAAATACGGAATGATTACAAAAAAAAGGCAAGGTTAGATTTAATGAGTCAGTGCGAGTTGAAGCAGGGCAGATAAGGTCAAATTGTTAGATTGGGCCAGATTAGGTTAGACTAGGGAGTCATAGTTAGATTAGGGCACATTTTCTTAGACTAAAGTTGGTTAGATTATGTAGAAGTCTGCCTTACAAACAACACTACTGCATGTGTTGTGGTTCCCTTTACAGGTCAACCTAGAAGTGCTGGACCTACATCTTAACCACCTGCCACATATCCCTGACCACATCCTGGAGCCTCTTACCAAGCTTCGGAGCCTTCACTTGTACTGGAACATGATCACTGAACTGCCCATACTGACGGAGAATTTACAGCTGGAGGAGGTGTTGGTGAATGGCAACGCCATCGATGTGTTTCCGAAATATGTGTTCGGCGACCTCACCAAGCCTCTTACCTACCACTTTCAGGCGAGTCAAACTGTAATTAATTACAGAAAGCATAAAGCTTCGTTTCCATGTTCAATCGGTGCTGAAAGCAACATCATTTCAACGTCAGTGTTCAACAATTACCACTGAAAGGTTCTAGCTTGTCTCAGTTTACAAGTGAGGATTATTCTGTGAAAACGTGGCTGACATGCTTTTCACATATATTTACACATACACACATTACAGAATAATGACAATTTCTAGAAAATATTTATGCATTATCTGCAGGACAACCCGGCCTACGACATATGGGCGACGATGCTGCTTCCACTACCAGTTCATAGTCACATCATGATGGGTTATGACGTGTTTGTATGGGCCGAGGATGAACAGCAGGCAAAACTGGTGTTGCAGGGGGCTGAGGGGTGGCTGGTGGTGGATGGTCTACAAGAACCCATTGACCTCAGCACACTATTGAGGATCTGTGCCAATACTACGACACCCAATGTGCAAGGTCGCATCCCTCCATGTTGAGTCATACAATAAAGTTTCCCATAAAAAAATGGGTTTGTACGAATCCCTGAATACAAGGTTATTTGATCACAATATTCCATGGATGCAATCAATTACACTACTGTGAAAATTTGAAATTAACAGAAGTAAAAAAAAAAATGGAAGCAGCAGGTATGAGTACCTAGACGAAACAGAGCAACAATATTGATGCCATAGGAAGATCTAGTGTACATGCCGACAGTACATAGCAATACCAACAACCAGCCGAGAAAAAAAAAACACTGGATGAACGAGGGTGCCATTGAGGTAAAGACCAGCAGGTCAGCAAGTGACTTAAATATTATCCTGCCACTAGGGCACGGACGCGCACTTATCTTAGTTCAATGAGATTGCATCAAGTAATTTCTTGGTCAGAATAAGTGAGAGGTCACAGAGCTTGGCATCATCACTCCTCCAAACCACTTACATAGGCACCGAGGTCTATGTAGGAATGCAGCCGAATTATGGGCTTTAAACACTCTGGACACAAAGTCCTGTCAAGACATTATAATAATATTAATAAATCTAGCGTAAAATTATATCACATGGTAGATTGTGCTTAAGAATAAGAAAATTCTTATAGAATTAGATGGTAGACTTCTGCCATTAAATCCGACACACACACACCTCACATATCCCTTCCGTTAGCTCCGTCCCTCAAGTTTGCCAACGGTGTCAAATACTGCTTGTCCCACAGGTTAAGTACGTAAATGAAAGGAAAACGTTTGTGACACAAAAACATGGGTGTAGTGACTCAGGGTAAAACCTCAGCGTCACCAGGGTTTGTTGACACGCACTCACTGTGAGGAGTGTATGAGTCTGAACATAACGGTGTTCAGGATGATGCAGAAAGTGTTTAGTAAAAAAAACTGTTGCTGGTATAACCAAAGTAAACAAGACTATTGCAGATTACAAGGGAGATACAGTAATAACACGAAAATAGGTAAAACCGGATCCTTAATGGGTGCCAAACTAAAAAGAAAGTTTGGAATGAGATCCTTACCAAGACTGAAAAAATACCCAATACGATAGAGGAAGTAGTTAAGAGGAGCTCTGCTCTGGTAGCAATAAAATTTTAAATGCACTCTATGCTCCCCAGTGAGTTAAAATCCTGACACACTAACTTTATTTAATACTTTTACCCCAAGATTGATGATGATCAAGTCCCCATTTGGAAATAAAAAGATATTAATACCTTTTAATTAAAAAGATGTTAATTGTATTCAAAGCTTTGTGATCACTTACGTAGCTTATTATCGTAGTTTGATAAATCAATATCCTACAGTGAGCTTAACAGAGTGTATGTTGAGTTCTGGCCAGTGTTTATTCTTTTTAACCAAATTATCAGTTTACTAGCCATTCAAGAAGTTTGTCTATCTAGTGTTACTATAGAAGGAAACCGGCACCAGAAAAACCTGTGATTGAGTTACACCCGTAACACCCTTCTCAGGTGTCAAGGCCTAGCAGGGCTTGAGCCCTCAACATATTGGTGAGAAACGTGCGCTACTGCTGTGCCACCAATCCTTTATTTTTTCCCACTAATGCAGACACAGCTACTAATTATAAGGTCGTTTATATATCTGAATGGGCCATAGCTCACGATCTTCAAGAGCGAGGTGCTTCCTCGTCTGGAGTACTGTCATCCCGTCTGGTCCCCGAGATATTCCAAGACTGTCAATTGATTGAAAATGTCCAAAGGAGAGCCACCAGAATGGTGCCTGCTCTACAGAACCTCAGCTACCCATAGAGATTAGAATGACTGCAATTGCCTAACTTATACTACAGAAGGGCAAGGGGCGACTTAATCGAAGAGTACTGTATAAACATCTCGGGGGGGGGGGGATACTACTCGGTTGAATGTACATACCTGGAGCTGGCAGACGCCCGCCCACAAGGGGTCACAGCTCAAGGCTGAAGAAGCCACAAGTCCAGAAAACAGTGAGGGCAAACTTTTTCAAAGTGAGAATTGTGAACTCTTGGAACAATCTGCCAAGTGTGTTGTGACGGCACCGAGTGTGAGCTCATTCAAGGCCAGACTTGACCAACACTGGAGCAGGTTCCAATATATTCAGGAGCCAGGTCATGCCCACTACTTGCCAACAATGCCTAACAGAAACATGAGTGACCACCCAAGCAGCTAACGTGCTGATCAGTGGCGAAGTGGATAAAAGTAGAGTATTAATGACCCCAGCCACCTTGCTTCCCTGGTGAAAAAAATGCAACAGCATTTTGTTTCTCCCCACCCATCTAAACCTTTGGATTATATCCTCTCCAATAAGTTGTCCTGCTTCGTGCACTTTACCCTATGCAACCACTCACCTTGGTATTCAACTCCCCACCAAACCCTACAAACAAATCGGTCCTTGCCGTTTCAACTTTTCCTGCCAAAGGTGAACTAAACTAAATTTCAACTGTAAATGTAGCAACAAGAAATTTACAACACAGCCACTCAAACCTTGGGCAATCGGTCACATCTCTTTTCATTTATATTCTTCACCAAAAGATCGGCTCGCTAGCCGCCCGGTCACGTCTCTGTCACGCACTGTTCGCAAATACTGGGCATGCACCGGCTCCTGAATGTACCTAAACACGATCCAGTGTTGGTCAAGTCTTCTCTTGAAAGAGCTCACACTCGGTGCCGTCACAACACACTGGTAGATTGTTCCAAGAGTTTACAACCCTCACTCCAAAAAAGTTTGCCCTCACGGTTTTCTGGACTTGCGGCTTCTTCAATCTTGAGCTGTGAGGCGAGCGTCCGCCAGCTCCAAGTAAGGACACTCAACTGAGTAGTGCCCCCTGAGATGCTTATACACCTCAACAAGGTCCCCCCTTGACCGTCTGTAGTATAAGCTAGGCAAGTTTAGGCGCTCCAATCTCTCAGGGTAGCTGAGGTGCCAAAGTGCAGGCACCAGTCTGGTGGCCCTCCTTTGAACATTTTCAACCAACTGACAGTCCCTAGCATATCTCGGGGACCAGATGGGGTGACAAATACTCCAGATGGGGAAGCACTTCACTCCTGATTTACCTTCTTCTCACAATGGCCCGAGAACTTCAGCTCATTGTCAACATACACACCTAAGTCCTTCTCACACAGTCTCAACTAGTGCATTTTCTTCATCCCGTTGGGACATATGATGCGCCTCCTTACCGTTGGTACGCCCCAGGTGCATCCTCTTACACTTTGTGACATTGAATCTCGGCAGCCAATTTCTTCGACCATTCCTGGAGCCCACAGAGGTCCTTCTGCAGCTCTTCACAGTCCGCTTGGTTCTTAATTTCCCGAAATAACTTGCCATCATCGGCAAATATTTGTATGGAGGAGTGTACAACGTCAGGCATGTCATTTATGAAACAAACAAACAACAGCGGGCCCAATACACTGCCCTGTGGTACCCCACTTGTTACAGGTACAGAAGACGATTTCGTGCCATTAATCACCACACACTGCTTGCGGTCATGTAGAAAGTCTTCTATCCACGCTAGGACATTTCCCCGAATTCCGTACCCTTCCAGTTTGATTTTCAGCCTTTCGTGGGGTACAATGTCGAAAGCCTTGGCAAAATCTAGGTAAATATTGTCAATATTACCACCCCGTTCCAGAATATGGGTCCAAATATCCAATACCTTGAGCAATTGTGTTAAGCAAGAGCGCCCCGGCATAAAACCGTGTTGGCAATCTTTTACAAGGTTGTTTCGTAGTAGATGTTCCATCGCGGCATCTCTGATAATACTCTCAAGCACTTTACATATTATGCTGGTCAGGCTCACCGGTCTATAGTTGTTCGTGGAGTGACTATCGCCCTTCTTGAAGATAGGACTCACATAAGCCACTTTCCATTCACTGGGGACTATTTGTTCATCCAGGCATTTACAAAACAGGATCTTCAGGGGCTCTGCAAGCTCGTTGCACAGCTCTCTTAGCACTCTAGGATGCACCATGTCAGGGCCGGGACTCTTATGGACCTTTAGCCTGGACAGTTTATTTCTAATACCCTCTTCTGTGAACACAATGTGGGTCAGTGCTGTGTCGAACCGTCTGTCCTCAAATGCAGGAAGGTTAGTTGCATCCTTTCTTGTGAACACTGAGGAAAAGAAGCTGTTCAATGCCTCAGCTTTATCCTGGTCAGAATCTGCATAACTACCATCTTCAAGCCTCAGGTCTGATACTCCTACTCGCGTTTTCAATTTCGACTTTGCATAGCGGTAAAACGCCTTTGGGTTTGACTTGACCTCGCGTGCAACCAGCCTCTGGAACTCCTTTTCAGCCCTCCTACACTCTATCTTTGCTTGGTTTCTGGCTCTTGCATACATCCTCCTGTCTTGTTCATCGTTTGACCCAACCCACGTCTTGAATTTAAACAACTCTTCACTCATCCTAATGATGACAAACCTTCTAGTGATAAATACATTCAAACTTCTCTAATCCAACCACATACCCTCCATTCCATTATCATATGACTGCTATCAAGGACTAACCCCATCTTGCTGATCCCACTTTTCCAAAAAAATTGAACTGCTGTTCTTGCTAACACACAACAATCTCCCTACATTCCCAATCCAACATCAAATTCACCCCAACCTTAGCAACCACTTAAATTCTTTACACGTTTAGTATCCTGTAGCTTCTATACTCCTCAAACAGTTCCAAAAACTCAATATCCATCATTTAATTTCTTACCTCCACCTTCATCTACCTTGTGTCGTGTAATTTACCAAGTCCTCAACAACTTTAAGTACCAGGGTATGGTTTGGTTTACCCCAGTTCTTGCTTCCTAACTCACTCCTTTATTACTTCGGTGAATCCTATTGCTCATTAGTATATCTAAAACTTTTTACAAGGTCTGGCATCAGGCACTTCTTGATGAACCTTTTGGCTACCATGATTCTTTAGTCTGATTTCCACCACTGTATAATTGTGTAAGGTTCATATTCGGCCCACTTTCCTAGCAATGCCCAGTTCCTACACCTTCTCTTACTCCACATTAACAATCTTTGTCTTTCCAATAGCAAATACTCCTTCACTGCTGATAACCTAAACAAAACCTACTGGTTCTACTACTCTAATGGCCATACTATTAAGTCTTCCAGTATATTAAGTTAAGTAGGAATAACTTTGACATATATCTCAATAGGGCACAAATAATTAGTTTACATTCAAAGTTACCTATAAAATACAAACTCGTCTAATGATGATCACAGCCACCCTTTAACATACAAACCAACAATTCAGGTACAATCAACATTCTTAATTTTACACTAACTAGTAACTTTCCCTGGAACTACAGCCATTTCATTTTCAGTATTTGCAAGAAATTAATTAAAAAAAAGGGGCTCATTACACATGCTCTTACTCATTAGAACAGTGAAGCACTTCCACCTACATGGACTATTACTACCCTGTATATAATATTAGCTTCACCCAAAACAATCCCTATCACATATTTTTTACTGCTATTTCTAGTGTACCCAAGAACTGTAATCCATCGTTTGCTATTTTCATCTATCATAACCCCCGTTTCAGCTAAATGTCATCATTGTTCATTTCATTCCATAAACTGACTACCTGTACAGTGTTTATGTTTGAGGCATAACTAAAAAAAATTCAGCACTACACTATGGTATACAAAGTGTACCTCCTGTAATACATCACTACACTATACAGTATTGTATTGTACAGTACAGTACAGAATTATAAATTAAAAGTTCACAAACTACATTCAATACTGTACTAACCATGAAATACCTATCGATCGAGTAGGGATACTTTAATGAATTTAATTCAATTATTCTGTGATCAAATTACATTACGCAACAATTAATTTTTACTTTTTTTTAAGATGCAAAGTGGCTGATGCAAATCATGAACCTTATATAAACAGTACATTATTGCTAAGAACACAACAGCAGTTCCACCCTCTCTTTTAACAAGACTCAAAACCAATACAGTACATGAGCTATACTGTAGTTGTTTAAACCTCTACCAATAATAATGAAGTCACTGTGCAGTAACGCATAGTATTGCTTCTGCAGTGATCATTCCTTCTGAGTGTTACTTAAGTCAGAAGTTTTCCAAATATTATAATCAGCTCCACTGATCAGCTTAAGATCCTAATTCACATAGGATTTCACCACAGCTCTTTAAAATACCTAATTGTCCTCCAGGGTTGTTTAAAATGAGCAAAGAAAATCACAATAACGTTTAATAAATCCTGGGAATTGTTCATTTTTTAAAACTGTATGTGTGTGTTGTGTGTGCTTTGTTTCTGAAAAATGTATACATGTATACTGTAATCAGTTATTTATGACTAATAATTATGTACAATATTTATTTCCAAGAACTAGGTTTGAGTGCATTTCCATTTTTGGGGGAGGCTAAGACAAAATATTTTTTTCCTACTCTAATTACAAGTTATCCAAGTTTGGATGGCTCATGCCTCATTACCAATAATGACACAATTTTGAAAGTACTGTACTGTACTGTACAGCACTGTACTAGTATCCTGGTTTTGTTCAACTGTTACATTAAGCTATGTTTGCAACTCCTCACTAACTGGTTCTTAAAAGTTAATTTATACATAACTACCAACACAATCTGCATCAAAATAGCATTAACTTCAAAGACTCTCATTAGGACTTTTAGACCATTTATTAAAGGTGTACAATTTCAAAGTGGAAATATAAACACAGTCAAAACATGACCAGTAGTTTGTTAGCAATGTTTACTCCCTTAGTGGAGCAGACATGGCTTGTCACAAATGCTTTAAAAATTAAATAGAATCTGAATTTTCTTTTCCTGTCTCTTTGTGACCAGTTCTGCACTACCATTAAAAAATTAAAAGGTACAAAGTAGAAATTGCCAGCTAGTTTACACTGTAAACATGCATACAAAAGTCTGAGTGTTCACCACCAGGGTCCTTCCACAAACTAATTCTGTTGATATTTTCTCATATGTGAACAACTGGCGACTTTTGGATACTAAAAAATGTGTAAAATGAGTTGTCCTTTCTGCTCAAAACAATTATCTTTTTTCTTGTACTGCATCAGTCTCTTTCTGAACTTAAATCTTTTCAACTAATTATCTTATGCACCCATGGTCACCAGTTTTACCAGTGTCCCATAAATTGGCACAAATACCCAGATGTGAGTTGCACTTTCTCTTTCCATGATCATGGAGTGGTCATCTTTAACTCCACTTAAATTCTTACCTATACTTTTTCCTTTATACAGAGACAGCATCACTTCCACACAACTCCCCTCTTCTACACAAAGATACAATTAGAAAAGGAAAATAATGTAATGAGTTTTATATAGATGAAAGTGACTGAGATTGTAAATATTTCAACTTTTTACAGACCATCATTAATCCAGTTTACAGATACACCATTACTTTTTTTTCCAATGCAAACAGGTTACAGAAGCACATGTAAAACTATATCTTATCCAGTAAGAACTTAATGCAAGATTGCTGAACCACTAACTTACCGTAAAATGCACATTGTTAATCTACTTCAAAACTTTCAAAGGATCCAAAAGCCTATAAACCATTCTCATGTCCTAAGAGCAGATTCCGCGCCCTTGTAAATCTTGTACTCAACGATAGTTATTCTCTATGTGTAACATTTCCAGAGATCCAACCAAGTTAACAAGAGAATGGTTCAAGCCTGCGGTGAGAAAAGTTCCACAGCTGACATAACTTACCCATAACAGCCCTGTATCACCTGAACCCTTTTGTTCTGTTTTACTTATTTTTCATTACTTTATAATATTTGGCAGTCTTTGCTTGTCTGCACTAAACACTTATAAAATGTTCCTAATAACTCCGGCGTGAAGCAATTTTATTTTTACTAGGTACAGGTTGTGCGTTCAGGGGCGGGGAAGTTTTTCATTACTCTGTATACTTTCTTTAGTTTTAAGGATTTTCAAATCATGTACAATAAGGCTGTAAAACTTTTCATCATTACCACATTTTTCAAATAAATCAACAATACGCTCATGTTCAGTATAAACCGACTTAGTTAACATATATTCCCAAGTGCTACTCACTACACAGTATTTTCCAAAACTTTTACAACAAAGATAAACCTTCAAAATCCTATTTAGTCATTATTTTTCTGGTATGTTATACAGGTCCTCTTCTCTTTCTCAGCATCATATAGCTGTTGCAAGTGATCTCACTCGCAATGTTTTCTAGTAGTGGGCATCGACAGGGCTCCGGCGTCCTCCATAAGATGAACTAGACAAAGAAGAGATAAAGCTATGTCAACAACAATCACCGCAATACCTTTCCTGAAAATGAAAAATTTTCAACTATGTAATTAGTTTAAGTACCACAACCAGTTTCAACAAAAACACTTTCCCATTTTCTAAGCAATTTCCCTCGATTTTATAAAGAAACCGTCGTGCAATTGGTAAACTTCTTCAAAAACATTTCTGATAATTATTACAACTGCTATTTCATGCCTATAATTAGATTTGCTATGTTATATTCACTTGTAACACTTGTTTTCAAGTCAAGCAGTTTTCCAGTCACAAAATACTTGCCATATTGGTTATCAATTCAAGGTGATATCTCAACGATGCCATACATCATTCTACCTGGAGTATTCCTTGCGAGAGTAAGCCCGGTCTGGGCTATAGTCGCGCGAGTCACGAGAGCGCGAGGTTCGGATGACCTCCCTGGATGAGGGAGGGGGGGAGGAGGCAGGGTAGTAGCGAGAAGAGCTGCCATACCCACCACCAATTGGCGACCGCGACCTGTAACCACGCTATTTATGTAACCGCAATACTGAAACTCCGCCTCTTTTTTTTTAGCGGACACTTCTCAGCTCTCCACTCACTGTTGTCTTCTCACAAACAAAAATAAACAAGAAATAAAACGTTTTATCAGGCAACCCAAGAAGCTAACACAAGTAGGCAAGGAGTTCCATTAAGATGACTTTTTTAGATGAATATATTGCTCAAGCTGGCACACAATCTTTGTGCTTGGATAATTGACTCGTCCGCCCACTTTCCATTTTCAAGAGCTTTTTCTGCAGCTGGTTGGCTATCTTGTCCATAATCAAGGCAGTACATCTTCTTTCCTTTTGTTTTGAAGTGTATGATGGGTTATTTCATGATGCACAATAATGAGACTTCTTCAAACACCTGTACAATCTAGGGCAATAGTAGCTTTTTCAGTAGTTTCCACATTTCTTCAGACATACTTTTTTTTTCTCATAAGAACTTTCTGAACTTGCTATTTTCTATAAATAAAGCCACACAACTTTTATTCTCAGCTCATGCATTACAAGATTATTATATGCCTCCTCTTTGTACCAACTCGGAATTCTTGGTTTCAAACTCCTGATATTTTAATGAACGTAAGCTTTCATATAACTTTCTTTTATCTCCATCTCATCATTTTCTCTGCAGTTTTCCTCACTTTGTGTCAGTAATGTTCATAGATATCTGCACTTTACATTCACTGCCATTCCTTCGTTGGTTATCAGACCAAAACTAAATTCTACTTTCCGAAAAATTTTCAAAATACGACATTCTACTGTTTTCTTGGACTCTACAGGTTTCCACTATCTTAATACGTACAATGTTTTTCTTTTACAGCAAATATTATTTTCAACTAATCTGGCTTGACTGCTTCTTTCATGAAGATTTGTTCTTAAAAGTTTCTGAACAGTTCTAAAAGTTAACGTCTCAAATTTCTTTACTGTCTCCATTCTCATCTTGAAAACTCACGTTTCAATAAATTCCCGCAGCAAAATTTTCTCTAACGTAAACGTAAACCTCAACTTTTCATTGAGTATGCGCATTTTTTTTTCCATTTAGTGTTTTCTATTACTCTTCTTAAAAATAATAGTAAGAACAAAAAAATATAAAAACAAATAAAACGAAGAAGGCACTTAACAATAAAATCTTTGCAAACTGATTCATCGACTTATTCACACAATTCCAATTACGAAACCGGTTTCTTATATGTAATGCTCTGATAACATACTAATACACAGTACTGATAATATATATTTTTTTCACATACCCTAATTCTATACTATTGGGATAGCTTATTAAATGCTAATTGCCATTATCTTATTTAAAACTGCCATAAAAGCCAACACCAATTTCTCATATCGTCTGCCTCTCAACTTTTTTTATGAATAAATGTGCATTCTAACTGCCACCTTTGACAAATTAACTAAGTTTTCTTTAAAGAAGAAAAATAAAAATCATTTAATCAATAACTCCATGCAAGAGGTATTTTCCATTTGTATAACTTGTCAAACTTTATGGGACACCTTATAGGAACTTTTCTGGGCACCAGTTACAAATTTCATATTCCTTACTTCCTTTCCTTGTCAACTTGTTGGGTTGCTCTTAAAAGCATGCAAACTAAATAAGGCACAAGAAACACAATATCAAACAAGAAAACTTCCAAAGAAAAAGTATCTCAGAAACTGGACACAATAGACGTCACTCCATTCTTAGACATCCAATCCACAACTGCAACTTTTTTTCTGAAAGGTAATTTCAACTTAAACCTGCTTTCTTTCTGGTTTCTCTTTGATCTCTTTCCCTGTAATTGAGGATGTTTAAACATAAGATTGGAAATATTGTGGATGAATCTGAAAAAGAAATTTTCATCATAACAGACATTTAGCAGGAAGTTTTCTATTGCTACATAATTTATGTTACGATCCAGGAACTGACATATGATCAGTTTCCATCAAGGATGACTTTATGGCTCAGTTTTCACCAGTTATCAGACAGATTTTGAAAATCCTAAACTGTTGAGCTATTCACGCAACCAATATCTTACTTCTTTTCATTACTATTCAAAATTGGTTTTATCAGTTACTGGCCTTGAATATTTATCGACAGATCCTGCAATATATTGCCAGTGCAGATAGTATTGTCTGTCTTTTATCTAATATCATTACTAGTGACTCGGTGTTTGGCCAACATCATCAAGTGACAGCTCCTGGAGTGGCGAGAGCAGGGTACCTGGTGCGCTGGTAGCCCGGAGAGGCAGAACGATATCGATCAGGTGAATGGCTGACTGGTGAACGGCTGCGCTGGTACTCCTCCCGGCGCGACCCGCTGTAGTTCACATACTTGTCATACTTGTCATCTGAATAGTGGGACTTGTACTTGTCACCAGAGGGGTAGCGAGAGTAGCCGTTCTCAGCTGGCTTGTCATACGACTTTTCATACTTGTCATAGGAGTAGTTGTCGTAGTTGCCGGAGCCTCCACTGTAGCCTCCGCGAGAGAACCCTCTGGAGTGGCTGCCACCACGTGAGTAGCCACCTCCACGGGAATAGTTGCCACCACGTGAGAAGCCTCCACCACCTCTGGAGTAACCTCCTCCACGTGAATAACCTCCACGACTACTGTAGCCACCCCTATCAGAACCCCTGTAACCCCCTCGGGAAAATCCACCCCTATATCCCCCACCTCCCCTTGGATAGTAGCCCTGGCCGCCGCTGCTGTAGCTGCTTGAGTAATAGCCCCCACCACCCCCTCTACCACCTCTGTCATAGCCACCTCGACTATAACCACGGCCGCGACCACGGGCTACCCCTCCTCTTGTGACACGGGCTGATACCCGAGACCCCATAAAATCAGCCCCGTCCATCTGGTTGGCTGCATATTCAGCATCTCGGGCGTCGAAGTATTCCACAAAGCCTGAACCAGGTGGGTCGTAGATTAGGTACACCTTCGCAATCTTGCCAAAGCGGGAAAATGTTTTATCCACTTGGTCCTTGCGAATGTCTTTTGGGAGGCTCTCCAAAAACACTCTTGTGTTATGGCTTTTACTGAAAAAGAAAGAAAGAACAAAATTAATAGTGGAGGGAAAGGTGTGACAAGGGGATGGGAGGGAGAAACTAGCAGTTATAATACCCAGTAATAATAAGTTATCCTCTAGTTTAAATGTCTGATTTTTCTTCTGATAGCTGCTATGAAGGAATCCTTAAATAACAAAGGTATGAAAGAAGTTTTGTTTGACTAGTTTGTTTCTGTGGCAGAAATATGCACCCACAACAAAAAAATAAAAATAAAATGTCAGTTTTTGCGAACTGTTTGCTCTGCTACTTTATTTACTATTTATTTATTTATTTATTTATTTATTTACTTTTTGTATGTGGGAGGGGAGGAAGAGGACCTTGTGAAATTACCAGTTTGTTTTATTAGCAAGTATTCCACGCAACTCCTTATAATTTGTCAACATGACATATTCCCACACTCACTATTTTACATACTAAAGGAAAGTTTCATAATATTTAATAGAAATCGCTGTCCTGTTCAACATTGGGATCATTCAAAACATACAACCAAATGGAGGACAGCTTCTTGGAAAGAAAAAAACATGCTTTGTCCTAAACCTGTGGTGTTAACAGAAAATCATAGTTCTACAGTATAAACAAACTGTTAACCCTCAACACACTAAAGGGCTCGCATGACTTGCTGTATCTTACACACTAAAACCTTCATTTGAGTTTTCCCAATTGGTACCTTATTTCTTTTTTTTTTTATGAAAATAATGGGATTTGTTTCTGGTGAGGCATGACTTGGTTGGCAACAAATCATGAGGCGCCTGCTCCCGATTTAGGAGCAGCAGCAACATTCAGTTTGCCTACGCACACACTCCGGAACCCCCCCCCCCCGCCTTTCAGCCGGGTCATTCCCTACACAATTTGACAGTTCTCTACTACACGCAACAGAGCGAGTATAGATTTTTTTCTTTTTTTTTCCTCTGAGTTCAGCACTTCAAAATGTAGTACTGTACAGTACATAAATCTGTAAGAATAATTTTATAAAATACAGAAAAAAAAAGAAGAAAGGTACTGTACTTGGTTAAGAATGCCCCTTGGGGGTGATCGTGGTGCTGATAGCAGTGGTGGTGCGATGGGGATCAGCACATTAAGGGATAACTTCTTTTTTTCTTTTTTTAGACAATTTATCGATTAATCATATATTTAACACTCTTGGGTTTGGATAGGTGCTTTCCAGCAAGACATTTGGGGTCTGGCCTGTTACTGCACCACATGAGATAATTATACACAGTCAAAGCATGCTTACTATTTTAGATCCACTACAGTATTATATGAGGAAGTAGCAAGGACGAGCTGACGAAAACAAGGTTTTGAGAAAAATGCATTTGAATTTTTTTCCTATTTTGGTCCATAACTCATGCAAATTTTTAGCAAATTTTGTCATTTTTGTAGCAATAGATCATGACTATGTCTGAAAAATGTATAACATTCTGACATTTGGTCAGCTCGTAATGCCTCATATAGTGGCCATAAGTATCACAGTTTACAATTTCTCTGGGAACAAATAAACACATACAGGTAATTAAATTATACTGGTTGACAGACCTCACTGGTTAAACATGTAAGGGGAGGTGGGATCACGCAGCACCTGATAAATTCCTGTCGAGCGTTTTCCTCTTAAAATATTAGCTTGTCCGCCGGGCACATGGATTTGAAAAATTACTTGTCTGGCCCCCAACTTAGGCACAACTGGGATGCCAGGCACCACTAATATGCACAGCATACAATAGGGTCATCAAGACACAGCTCAAGATGGACATCACAACTCTCCACATGTAAACTTGCATCTCTCATCTCTCCTACTAATTAGAGAACCCACCAAGGGAGGAGGGAGAATATTAATCTCTTGAAATAAAGAAAAGGGGAAGGGGATTTCCAAGTACTGTATGGTAGAATAAATTTTTCTTATAGCCTCATTTGCAAGGCAAGGAAATAAAACAGAGATGGTTAAACGTCAGAAGGAATGTTTATGTACCACATTACTGTACAGAAGAACCTCTTTAAAATTGCAAATAGACACTTCACATAAAGGCATTTCTCGTATCAACTTCAATCACAAATTAAAATACATAAATTTCCCCCAAAATACTGTAGAGGTACAGTACACTATATTATACATTACAGGAAACTAGACTCCCTATATATTAAAGAGAAGCCTCCATTTAACGGACTCTCATCTTCACTTCTAATGGACCTCGATATAACAAACTAGCATTTGCATTTTGGCCATTAGATGGAGGTTTCACTGTATGTAAAAAAGAAGAGCTTGGATGAAATTTTCCCCCCACATGTATCAGTTGAATGCAGACAGTATGAAATATTTTTAGGTACAGTGATGTTTCAAAAGTGAAACCTCCATTTAAAAGACTATATGGAGATGAAGGTCCATTATACAGGTATATATATATGAAACCTCCATCTCACGGAGTGTATGGCTGGAAAAGTCCGTTATAGGGAGGTTTCATATACTGTACTGTACTCACGGTGGATTGGTTTAAACCATTTGTTTTATATATACTGTAGTGTACAGTATACAGTATAGTATAAGAAAAATTAATATATGTATTACATTCGTCTTTTTCTAATTTTTTTTTTGATAACTATGTGCTTTCTCCACCCTGCATGTGCATACCCAAGGTCCTGGTTTTCTGTTTCCTTGAAATTTTTGCAATATACAGAATGATCGTGTCTTAGTACGGCATAATCCAACCAGTTTAAAGGTTTATATAATTTTATCAACACACGCCTTTTCCCCCCCTTAAACATGGGTTTTTTCCCACTGTGAATATACAGTATATTTGTTTCTCGTGCTTCCTGTTGTTGGTGTGTAAAAACTGATTACCCACAACAGGTTTGCCCCTATTACTATCTCAAGGATTACAATACAGAACTTAGGTACAGTATAATGTATCTTAAAAGGTATTTCAATCATCTTACGTGTACTGTATAATAATCCTCAAGTTGCTCACCCCCTTCCAGACCTCCACCTCTTACTCTATGTACACCCACCAAAAAAAGTTGTCAGCCCTCTCTCCCATTCATGAACCCTGTGGATGAGACATACAGTGTGCCATCTATGGGCCCAACAATGTGCGATGTCTTGGAATCACAAGTTCATGAGTCTCGGGGTTCATGGATGGAACGGTAGACTGACAGAACATTTTTTTGGTGGGTGTACTTATATAAAATCAACTGTTTACAAAAGCTATAAATTATGAAATGTTAGTACTCCATGTAAAAAATAAATGACATTTCTGTTCTCCCCTTGGCTTGGTCACCCCCTAAGGGTGACCATCAGCCCTTCCTAGTAATACATCACTCTACACTTATGTATTTCTGATGCTGGCACTGTACATCAGACCCAATACTTCCCTTTTTCATTACTGCTGAAGAGAATCTTTTGGTATTTGCTTGGGGTAATAAACTCAGAACAGTTCTGCTTCTTTCAAGGGGGTCTGGCAACAGGTGCTGAGCAGTACATCACCCATGATGACTAGACAGTAACTAAGCCTGTGACATGAGTAGGTTTGCTTATATTCCAACATAAGTACCAACACCAATAGGAAGCTGGAGCAACCATGTCATCTGTGGCCTTAAATGTTGGCAGGAAAAAGCCTTGCACCAAATGATGGGTGCAGCAGCTCAAAAATTAAACGATTCATTTATATAAATCTATAAATCTTTCACAAATGAAAATAAAATAAAATCCCAATTTTAAATTTTAAAAAATATGGACAGTGCAGGTTGTTTAGCTTTATCTGCTGTATTCTCAAATTTAAGAGATTTTAAAAATTTCTAACAGAACTTGATTTATGACCACAAAATTTGTGCAAAATCCTTCTGCCACCAAATCAAGTAATTGACTAAAAACCCTTATCCCTTGAATCATTACACATCTGCATGCAACTAGCCTCTTGTAATTTCCAACAAATCTTCCCTATCAACAAAGGGTACAACTAGTAAAATGTGTACAAATACACAAGACTGCACACCTACACTTGGATTCTTTAGTCTGCTCGAAATGAACTGCTTTTTTTAATACCCCCCATAATTTCTGAGAACTCGCCCAGACAAATGCAACACCACTGTGCCAAAGTTAAAAGTGAGTGTAAAAACAACACTGCATAAACAAGCATATCTTATGAGATCAACAAACAGTACTATTACAAAATATTTAAAGGAAAAGGCTCTGATAAAATTTTCAAGGTCAGTACAACCAGATTGAAGGCTAAATGCACGTAAAAGGTAAACACTGCACACCTTATCCTTTAGTACATTATGCAAATGTAAAAAAAAAATTCTCGGCAAGTACTTTTGTCTGACAAAATATGTTTAAATTCAGTAAGTACACCAATGAAAGGTCTAACAAATTCTCGGCAAGTACTTTTGTCTGACAAAATATGTTTAAATTCAGTAAGTACACCAATGAAAGGCATTTAGACAAGTTTATGAGCTAAATATGACACTACAGTACTAACCTAAGCCTTAAGCAGAGGCTCAGGACTCCATACTTCACCCCCATATGTGCAATGATGGAACACACAGCACATGACCTGTCTACTGATGATAGCTTCTGTCCTTACAGCTAATTTCACTGATGACAAGCCACCATTTCAGGGGTAAGCTGGTCCTTACCATCAACTGCACTGTATTTGTGTGAACACTACAGTACTTTACGATCAAATATAATACAGTAGAAACATATTACAGTATACCTGTACTGGTATTCCTTTCTAACACAAATTTGCATATCACAGTTTATATTAATTGCAACTTATTTTACATGAATAGAATATCCAATACAGTATTATATATATATATATATATATATATATATATATATATATATATATATATATATATATATATATATATATATATATATATATATATATATATATATATATATATATATATATATATATATATATATATATATATATATATATATATATATATATATATATATATATATATATATA